GAGAGAGAGAGAGAGAGATCCAGTGTGTCTTTATATGAGGACGACACATCTGATCAGACATGACAGATAATGTATTTTTCTTACTCCTTTCTCCCCCTCTCCCCCCTCTCCCTTTCTCTCCCTCTCTCTTTTACTCCTGTCTTTCTTTTCAACAGGACTACCTACAAGGCGACAGCACCAAAGCGTATCAGAAGCTGGGTTGGAAGCCAAAGGTGACTTTTGAGGTGCGTATACCCACACCTGGAAGAGCTGACATCAGTATGGTTTTATTAGTGGGAATACTGTGCTGCACAAGCACAGACAGGGAAGGATTCAGTGAAATGTAATTAATCCACAGAAAGGACAATGTCTGAAGAAAAAATACTAAAAGAAGCAATTCATTGACAAATGGAAGAATATGGAGAGGATTTGTGGCTGAGCTAGAAAAGCGGGGACTCGAACACAAAGAACTAAGTGTGTCTGTATGTATATAAGTAGAAGGTGGGTGGGGTTAGCACGGTATGTGGGTGGGATAGTAAGAGGATATTTCTTTCTTCTTAGTATGTGAGTGTAGCCTACGTTTTTATAATCCCCTCCAGACATGTGTGCAACAAAAGTATAATTTCCACATTAATATTCTTAAAAAGTAATCTAGTCCTTCTACCTCATTAAATATCCCAGAATATCCTCATTGTATGTGCACTGGTGGCTTCACGTTTATACATCACACTATAATAATAATAATAATGTAATAAAATAAAATATATACTGCATACTGGACCAGGACTGACTTCCAAACCATTTGTGATGTCACAAATCATGCTCGTAGGCCCCGCCCCTTACAAATAGAAACTTTCCACTCTCAGCAGATGAATGTGAAAATATCCTTCTAGTGTCAAACTCTTCACAGACATCATTCTGCACAGTGAAGATCAAATATTCAACAAATATGGATATACAAAGATGCACTCACTACTGAGGCCCGCGTGAACCACACAAGAAGCAACGGAAAACCAACAAATTAGCAGGCCTACTTTTATGTCTTGGAGAGTTAATCTTATGTTTTGCCAATGTGAACCTACTGTATGCTACATGGGAAGGAATATGAAGTAGCTTTCTTTTATTGGAAATGGTGGAAAGCATGGAATTTAATAAAAAATAATAATGGCAAAAGAAGAGAATATTTTTCTAATATATCTCAAGATATGGCAAAGGAATGCAAAGCCACATATTTAAAAAATCTAACTGATGTTCAGTGCTGTTAACTGTGTTCAACTGTTCTTCATCCCCTTAGACGAAACTCTCCATATTTGGTTTGTAAGCATTAATACAGACAGCAGAACTGAGTGAAACAATCACATGATATGATCATATTCTGCAGTGACTAAAGGGCCTGTGTATTGTTTGAAATTATTTGGGTTACTGTTATGTCCGAGTTTTTATTCCGATACCAAATTATAATTTTTAGAGAAATACAGTAGAAACATGGTTTTCAAAACTTATTTTCATTTAACAAAAAAAGCCACAAACAGCAGCTGCCAAACAGGAACTTTGCCTAAATAAAATACGGTATTAAACTGGCAGACTTTTGTATTAGATGAGGAACTAACTGATCCGAAAATAATCCAACAAGACTCCAAATCTGTCCTGACACTCAGAGCCGATTCTCTGCACTTTACAGTTTTTGATATTCTGTACAATGAACACATTTTTGTCGATGCAGGAGAGCTATGACGGTTTAATATCCAGCCTGAATCATCAATCCTTCTTCAAGTACATTTCAGGCTGAAAGTGAGACACTACCAACGTAAAGCTCTCACTGTGTTCATGAATAGCAGGCTCACCATAAACCACAATGTAAATAAATAAAGACAAAGCGTTGTAATTACAATCAGTGGCTCTACTGTGTTTTTATTAAAAGATTGATTTGTTTTCATATCATTTTCATTAAATATGAGTTCTGAAGTGACTTTCCCTTCTTTTGTGAAATGAAATGTTGACCTGGTGTCCCTCTGCAGGAGCTGGTGAAGGAGATGGTGGATGCCGACATCGAGCTGATGAAGAAAAACCCAAACGCCTGAGGCCAAATCACTCCTGCGTTCTATCACTGAGACCAACAGCCGAGGGAGCACGTTGTATTTTTACCTTTCTGACTTTTCCAAATGAAGTAATCGTGTCCTTTCTTCTTTGTTAAGGAGGCTAGACCGAACCATGTATTGCCTTTGTGTCTTGTGTCTATTTCTAGCATCATGTCATTTTGATTTTGTTTTGTTATCACATAGCAGAGATGCCTTTTTACACTGATCATGTCATAATTTATATAGATGGCAAGGGTTTATTTATGTGTATTTGTTTCCTTTTGATTGTAACTGAATTGATTTCAGATGACATTCTTTCTTTCAGATGGTAAAATGGCAGAATATATAAATAAATAGAAGGTTGAAGATTTTATCTTTTACTGGAAAAAAAGGAATGAACCGGTTTATTAAAGGTCTGAATGAACAAATGAAGCATTTGGTACAATAAAAACAGATCTTTTTACATGTTGTTTACAGTGTTTGATTTGTTTTCTGATTCAAACTGTGATGAAGAGGGGGGTACTGTTATGTTGGTAGAAATACTAACATCCTGCTGTTGGATGGTTGTGTGTTTTGTGTATTTTTGTGTGTTTTTTCCTTGTAGGTCTGCCAAGGAAAGTGAGAAATGAAGGCAGCAAGCAGCAAATCCTCGTTTAGGTTTAAATGCAGGTACCTCTGTAACTGTGTGTGTGTGTGTGTGTGTTGCCCAGGTTGTGCAGGGGTCGGTCGTTTCTCTCCCCTCTGCTCGCTCCGGCTTTCCAGGCTTTTTATTTGCGAGCACACTGCGCTCTTTTATTCGTCAGGAAGTGCGTTTTTCCCGGTGCCCGGAGCCCCAGGGTCCCGGTCTCAAACGCCTCTTGTCTGTGCAGACTGGCTGCAGGTTTCAAAGGCGTACAGAGAGC